TTCTCTTTAGACTGGTTCAATCTGGTTTAGCCCAGGGTAGCCTTGAACTCCTGATATTCCTGCTTCCTCCTCCCAAGTGCTGTGATTAAAGGTGTGTGCCACCACTGCTGGCCTCTATGGTTAACTAGTGGCTAACTCTGCCCTCTGATCTCCAGGCAAGCTTTATTTGTCAGAACACACACAGAATATCCCACAACCATTGCTACAATTGATGACAGCCAGAGTGCTAGGTATGCTCTTTCTATTGTATCAGTGATTTTGTCCTTTTCCTTGGACAGAACTAGAAAACATGTATTTTAAAGGTGAAATAATGCATGAGTTCATACAGATACTTCCAATCCTAACCTTGTCAGGGTTACACTAGTATCTTCTAATATTCACAGCCAGAGTCCCAGTTAACAAGTATATTAGGAAACCGAGATTCAGGATATCCCATAATCACTCATTATATTTGTCTCACACTAGTCTTCCAACAGCCTCAGAATAAATACTAATACTACTACAGAAATATGATTAAGAGAACTATTGAGGGGGTAGTGGGATGCCTCAGCAGGTAAGGGAGCTTGCTGCTAAGCCTGATGACCTGAGTTCAATTCCAGGGACACACATGGTGGAAACTGAAAACCATGGCATGTGCATACTATCACACATACACACATAAAATAAGTAAATCGGGCTTTGGCTGAGTGGTTCAGAGCACTTCTTCTTGAAGAGGACCAAGGTTTGAGTCCCAGCACCCATATGGCAGCTAACAAATGCCTGTAACTCCAGTTCCAGGTGATCTGATGCCCTCTTTTGATCTCTACACTGTATGCACATGGTACACAGATATACATGCAAACAAACACCCATATACATAAAATAAAAATAAATCAGTGTAAAAAGAAATTGTAAGTTATTGTTCAAATGTAAAGATGTGTGGCTGTTTCACCTTGCCTGCCTAAGGCACCTGATTGGTCTAACAAAAAGCTGAATGGCCAATAGCTAGGCTGAGGAGGGATGGGTGGAGCTGGCGGACAGAGACAAAAGAGAAGGGGAGAAAGAGAAAGAGACCCCAGGGAGCAGCCAGGGGCTGGCTAGCGAGGCAGGGGCCAGACAGACACGGAGGAAACAGAAGAGTAGGACATACAGAATGAAAGAAAGGTTAAAAGCCCTAAGCCAAAACGTAGATGAAGAGAAACAGGTTAAATTAAGTTATAAGAGCTAGTGAGACAAGCATAAGACCGAGCATTCACGACTAATAACAAGTCTCCATGTTATGATTTGGGGGTTGGTGGTCTGAGAAAGCCTGCTACAGTAAGTATACTTTTTAAAGAGTGAAATGCTTTCCTGCAACCTCCCCTCCTTTCCTTTGGTGCTCACTGACACTCACAAACACCCAAGTGGCTAGGAGAATAGACTAGCATTACCGCTCCCAGGTTCCCATTTTAAAACTGAATTATAGCTACTACTGTGAACTGTCTGTTCTTCATTTTTGTTTTAAACTGCGTCTTGCTGTGTATTCCATTCTGGTCCTGAGCTAGTAGCAATTCCTACCTCAGTCTCTTGAGTGTTGGGATTACAGTGCTTACCACCCATCATGCCCAGGTACTTTCTTCCTTCCGATTTGTATGTATTCTTAGGTCTACAGGTGGTATGTATTTAATGCTTACCATCAGCTCATATATTGGTATCTCTCTAGTCATTTTAGTTTTCTGAAACAAGTTCTTTATTTTATGTGCGTAGGTGCTCTGCCTGCATGTGTGTCTGTGCACTACCTGTGTGCCTGGTGTCTGCAGAGCCCCGAAGAGGGTGGTGGAACTGCAGTTACAGACAGTTGTGAGCTGCCATGTGTGTGCTGGGACCCGAACCCCAGTTCTCTGGGAGAGCAGCCAGTGCTCTTAACCACTAAGCCATCTCTCCAGCCTGAGACTAGTTCTTTATTTGAGTTCTCAGAAAGACTCATGGGGAAATATATTTTTCCATGTTCTTGGATGTTGTAACAGCTAGTGTCTTATCTATTTGAAAGTCATACGTGTTAGGTACTATAAACTGACACACTTTCGTTGAAAATCTGAAGATATTTTCTTCCTGGAAAATATCTGATGAGGGTCTAATTTTATTGTCACCATTTGTCACTTGTTTGTTTACTTACTTTCTCCTTAAATGGTCACAGGCTCTTTTCCTCTGAAGTCCAGGAATTTTACTAAACAATGTGTCAAAACAAGGTTTCTTTGGTTACTTTGGTTTTGGATTTTTTTGTTTGTGGGTTGATTTGTTTTGCAGACTCTGGTTATACACCCCAGGCTAGACTTGAACTTTCAATCCTCCTACCTCTGGCTCCCTAGTGCTGGGACTGATTACAGACATATGCTACTATGCCTGACTCTTTGGGTTTCTTTCTTCAGAAACTATTATTATCTAGGTTAGTTCTTTATCTTTCCACTTTTCTTCAAAATCTCTCAAGGATATATTTATATGTGTATGTGTGTGCAGAGGCTATAGCTGGATTTACAGGTGGCTGTGAACTGCCTTAGTTCACTGTGAGTGCCGGGACCTGAACTCACGTCCTCTGCAGGAGAAGCATGTTCTCTTACTGAGTTCTCTCTCCAGCCCTTACTATTTCTCTTTTGGTATTACTTGCTTTGTTATTTACTCTTGGTTGTCTTCAGGTTTAATCCTTAATTTTTTTTTCAGTGCTAGCAATCTGAACGTAGGGCCTTGCATATGCTGGGCAAGTAGCTAAGTCTTGGCTGTATCCTCAACACTAATCTTTAACTCTAAAGTGACATTTTAAATTATTTTCCAAGTCCTGCCTCTCATGTAAGTCTTACTATGTTGTTACAGTCAGTCCCACATCATTTTCTTATCCATTTTGGTAGTATGGAAGTAGATTTTAAAAAAAAAGTTTGCTGGGCTGGCAATATGGTTCATCAGGTAAAGGCATTTGCTGCCAAGCCTGACGATCTGAATTCAATCATTGGTCCCCAAGGTGGAAGAGGACAAGCTACCTCTGAAAGGATCCCCTGGCTTCCACAGGCACACATTCACAAAATCAGTGCAATGTGAAAAACTGGGGTGTCATTTCAGTTTCTTGGATGATTACTATCCATCTTCTAACACTCAGGAGTAAACATTCTCTGGTGTTCAACACAAGGCTCTGCTATTTCCCTCTTTCTAGACACTCAAAACATTGCTGTCTCTTAGATTTAAAGATTTGTCTTTGCTATTTTTGTATTTATTTGTGCTTGCGTGTGTGTGGGGGGGGGGCTGGGAGGCAACTTCATTATCTAAAGTTCACAACAACACTGCAGAAAATCTACAAAAGCTGCATCCACTCCTGCACACCCCAGATGCAGCTCAGAGTCTCCTTTCCCAAGCAACTGTTACTGTATAAAATCTTGAGGGAGGGGCCTTGTGAATCTTGTAAGTTTCAGGAGCTTCCTGTGACCCAAGAATTTTATTTATTTCCTGAGATTTGTAAGTTTCATTTACTTTCTGAGCCTTAAGCAGCCTACATTCAAGAAATAATGTTTCAATTTGAAGAAAGTAGTTGCAACACTCGGTCTATCTGTGAGGCCCCATGTAGCCTCACATGATTCTCAGGCCTCAAGCTCTAGAATTCCATAATTACACCATGTCCCAGCTAGGGTTCCTATTACCATGATGAAACACCATGACCAAAATGGAGTTGGGGAGCAAAATGTTTTGTGGTCCATCACTGAAGGAAGTCAGGACAGGAACTCATCAAGCAGGCCAGGAACCTGGAGCCAGGAGCTGATGCAGAGGCCACACAGAGGTGCTGCTTACTGGCTTGTTCCTTGAGGCTTGCTCAGTCTCCTTTCTTATAGAACCCAGGACTAGCAGCTCAGGGATGGCACTACCCACCATGGGCTGGGCCCTCCCTCATCAATCACTAATTAAGAAAATGCCTTACAGCTGGATCTTATGGAAGCATTTTTCTCATGGAGGTTCCTTCCTTTCAGATGACTTTAGCTTGTGTCGTTGACATAAAACTGGCCAGCCAGCACAGCTGTCACTCTTATTTTAGCATTTACTCTTATTGATCCCTAACAGGATTTCCATGAGAAGCGTGCTTGTGAAGGTTTGCGTGTCCACGAATCTCTGTCACCCTGACTACTCAATGCAACTTTCCGGTTTTGTAGCTTCCAGGGTTTCAGAAGAAGCCAAAGCCACCCAGTCCCAGTGCTGTGCTGCCTCTCACCTGTCCCTTCTCTTCTCACATCTTAGTAACTTCTGTGTTCTAATATCAGAAAGCTCTTCTGTTTGTAAAGACTTACCCAGGACATGCTTAGGTGTGTCCTTTTTCATCCATCCTGCCTGGAACACAGACAGGTGTAAGTCTATATTTGAGGGACAGACATTTCCTAGAAGCATTTAATTGTCACCGTTCTGTTTTCTGTTCTTTTTTCCAGATAACCATTTATTGGTCTGTTTAGATTTACATTCTCTCTCTCTCTCTTTTTTTTTTTTTTTTGGTTTTTCGAGACAGGGTTTCTCTGTGCAGCTTTGCGCCTTTCCTGGGACTCACTTGGTAGCCCAGGCTGGCCTCGAACTCACAGAGATCCGCCTGGCTCTGCCTCCCGAGTGCTGGGATTAAAGGCGTGTGCCACCACCGCCCGGCTAGATTTACATTCTTAGTGATCTGTATTCTTCACCATAATTTCTACCTTATACACATGTCTGCTTTGTGTCTTAAGATATCTTTTGCAGGCAGGTGTGGTAGCACACACCTTTAATCCCAGTACTAGGGAGAAAGAGGCAGGCAAAATTGTTGTGTTCGAGCTCAGCCTGATCTGCATAGGGAGTTCCAGGCCAGCCAGAGCTACATATTATGACCATGTCTCAAAAAAAGAAATCTTTTCCATGTCTTCACTGTGGGGTGTCCCTTTTCCTCACGGTCCGTTGGCCGCCAGTCTGAGAGGACAAAGGGAGCAGAGGCAGCTTGCAGGGCTTGGTAGGGTTGTGAGTACAACAGAAATAGCCTTCCAGGAGTCAGCTTCAGTGAGACAGCTCAACTTCATCCCAGAGCGAGGGGGAATACATAGGATGGGGACAGCAGCTGGGACATCACCTGATAGGTGCTTATATATGCTTCCTTTGTATTTGGCAGCAGGGTCCCATCATACTGATGGGGGCACACCACCTAATCATCACATGGGCAGCAGGGGAGAGCATTTACAGGGACCTGTGTCAAAGGTCACACTTAAGTCAGGCATCCAAGCTCAGGGAGCTTCCAGAGAAGGTCAGGCAGAGAGGAGGAAGCCCCTGCAGGAGGAATCTTCCGTTTTATGCCTAGCTCGGAGAGCCGTCCAGACATGGTGAACTGTAACCTTAAGCAGCAGGGCCTCCCAACATCAACCTAGTAAAGAGAATTCAATAATTTAATAATTCTCCTTCAACATATGAATGTAGTTTTTCTTAGAAATCCAGATTTGGCCAGGCAGTGGTGGCCCACGCCTTTAATCCCAGCACTGGGAAGGCAGAAGCAAAAGGATCTCTGAGTTCGAGGCCAGCCTGGTTTACAGAGTGAGTTCCAGGACAGCCAAGGCTACACAGAGAAATCCTGTCTTGGAAAAAAAAATTACTAATTTTATGTCACATTGAGCCAATTTTTACCACTAAATGAGTTTGTCATAAGCTTCCAGAAATCTTCCAGTCTTCAAAAAATTTGCTAATAAGGGATTATCAGGTGTTGTACTAAAGAGGGTAACATGCTAAGGCTGGACATGGAGGCACATGCCTACAATCCCAGCAGCTGGGGGGCTGAGGCAGTGAGACAGCACCAATCCAAGGCAAGCCTCGGGCTACACAATCAGGAGCCTGTTTAAAAAAAAAACAAAAAGTCAAAGTGGAAGGTAGCATGTCCCTGTTGACTGTGTCTGTAGAGACTTCCCGGACTTCAGACAGGGGCTGTCACAAGCCAAGGACATTCTTTTTTTTTTTTTTCCCCCCAGTTTTTCCAGACGGAGTTTTGTTATGTAGCTTTGGAGCCTGTCCTGGAACTCGCTCTGTAGCCCAGGCTGGCCTCGAACTCACAGAGATCCACCTGCCTCTGCCTCCTGAGTGCTGGGATTAAAGGGGTGCACCACCACCGCCTGGCCGCCAAGGACATTCTTGATAATCTTTTGGAACTGACCTGTGGTAAGGACATTTTATTAACTCATACTTTGTGACTAGTATTACATCTGGTACAAAATAGGTACTCAGTAATATTTTGTTGTTTGTTTTTACTCTTTTCTTGGGGGGTCTGCCACTCAGCTTCCAAATAAATTACAAATGGAGGCTTATTATATTACTTATGAATGCCGGGCCTTAGTTTGGCTTAGTTTCTAGCCAGCTTTCCTTATCTTAAATTATCCCATCTACCTTTTGCCTCTGGGCTTTTCCCATTCTCTAACTTCTGTAAATCTTACTCTTACTCTGTGGCTTGCTGTGTAGCTGGGTAGCTGGCCCTTGGAGTCCTCCTCCTTCTCTGGCTCCTACATCTTAGATTCCCAATCCCAGTTTTCTCCTTCTATATATTCTCTCTGCCTGATAGCCCCGCCTATCTTTTCTCCTGCCTTGCTATTGGCCAGTTCTTTATTAAGCCATCAGGTGTTTACACAGGCACAGTAGTAACACAGTTTTACAGAGTTAAAACAAATGTAATATAAACAAAAGTAACACACCTTAAAATAATATTCTACTACAGAAATATATTTAATTTTGTTTTCTAATAATCTTACCCAATGCTTACTTATATATTCCTGCTTTTATTTTATTTTTTTCTATTCTATTTTCCTCAGAATTGCTTTCAGTCAGACCTGAGGGTTTAGCTCAGGGGTAGCATACTCCCTAAGCACTCAGTAAGTGTCCCCAGCATCAGTTGTTTTTCTTTTTCTAAAAAATTGAAGATCGCTTACAATGTTTCCCCCAAGAATTGCAAAGCCATCATAGAAAGATCAGCGCAGTTGGCTAACAAAGTCACCAATCCCAACGGTGGGCTGCGCAGCGGAGGAGAAAATGAATACATGGTTCACCTGCATGCTTTATTTTTGTTTAAGTAAACCACAAAAACTGCAAAGAGAAAAATAACTGAAAAAACAAAACAAAACAAAACCCAGAAACTCAAGAACTAGGGGTGAGGACACTGAGTCCTTCATGGACAGTAGCTGCCTAATCCTCACAGCTACCAAATGGCAGGCTGGGATTTCAGCCCAGCCATCGGATCCAGACATCAACTAACCTGAGCTATTTGTGATTTTTTTTTTAATAAATACTATTAGTCTCGACAATATTTATATTTCTCACTTAATTTTTTTAGCTTAGTCACTATGGGAAATATTAAACAGCTGTTATATCTCTACATTTTAAATTTTACATTAATTCATTTGTGTGGGGGGAGCACGTGTATGCCACAAAACACATGCACATGTCTGAGGACAGCTTGAGAGAGCTGGTTTTCGCCCTCCTTGGGAGTTCTAGGGGTCGAGCTTAGACTGTCATGCTTGGTAGTAAGCAGCCCACCTGTTGAGCCGTCCAAGCAGCCCCCACATCTCTACTTATTTATCAAGTACTTTTTGTTGATGTTAGAGACAGGGTCTCACTATGTAGCTCTGGCTGTCCAGGTGTGCTTTAGACTCACAGAGATCTGCCTGCCTCTGGCGTTAAAGTTGTGTACCGCCAGGCCAGGCTTAATTAAGTTCTTGGTAAGAGTACTCTTGTAATAGCGGGGACGCTGCTGCCATTTTGTTGTAATAGCTGATGTTGCTGTTTTTAGCTGTAGTCTTTTTTTTTTTTCTCCATGTAGTTTTGGTGCCTGTCCTGGATCTCACTCTATAGACCAGGCTGGCCTTGAACTCACAGAGATCGACCTGGCTCTGCCCCCGAGTGCTGGGATTAAAGGCGTGTATCACCACCGCCAGGCTTAACTGTAGTCTTTTGTTTTGTTTTGGTTTTTTCGAGACAGGGTTTCTCTGTGTAGCTTTGCGTCTTTCCTGGAACTCACTTGGTAGTCCAGGCTGGCCTCGAACTCACAGAGATCTGCCTGGCTCTGCCTCCCAAGTGCTGGGATTAAAGGCGTGCGCCACCACTGCCCGGCTAACTGTAGTCTTGATCCAAGGAAGGAAACATTGTCTCAGTGTGTGTGACAGGGGTGGTGTCTCACTAATTAATCCAGCCTGAGTGCTGGGTTCAAACTCCCAGTGTTCTTGCCTCAGCCTCCAAGAAGCTAGGATATGGGTGTGTGCCACCCAGCCCAGCTAAAAGCTTTGCTTCTTGGTCTTATATGAACTTCATTTACTTATTTTTAAGATTTTATTTTTAGCCGGGCGGTGGTGGCGCACGCCTTTAATCCCAGCACTCGGGAGGCAGAGCCAGGCGGATCTCTGTGAGTTCGAGGCCAGCCTGGGCTACCAAGTGAGTTCCAGGAAAGGCGCAAAGCTACACAGAGAAACCCTGTCTCGAAAAACCAAAAAAAAAAAAAAAAAAAAAAAACCAAGATTTTATTTTTAAATTATGTGTATATCTGTGTGTGTGTGTGTGTGTGTGTGTGTGTGTGTGTGTGTGTGTGTGTGTGTGTTTGTGGTATGTAAGCATGAGTATGGGTGCCCTTGGAGGCCAGAAGAAGATGTTGGATTCCCTGGAGCTGGAGTTACAGGTAGTTGTAAGCCACCTGATATGGGGCGATGGGAGATATTGGGTCTTCTGCAGGAACATCTGGTCCTAACCATGGAGAGCTCTCTCCAGCTCCTTCTAAGAATTGTAATAATCAGCATATTTTCTGAGTGTTACATAATGCATCCCAAGATATCATGTTTTTTCCTTTTAATAAATTGCACCAGTCTATTGACTAATGGAAGACTATCATTCTCCACATAGTCTAAATACTTTGTTATGGTGTGTGCTCTTTTTACTACCGGATTGGTAACACTGATAGAATTGTAATAGTCACTTTAGTCTTTGTAACAAAATCACAGTAAAACCAGAAATGTTTCCCTAATTTAGGTGCTGTTTTATAGTAGTAATATCAGAATTGTGCTAGCCCTGGTGGAAGGGACTCAGAATTTTTCTATCAGGGCGCGTGTGTGCATGGTGGGGTAGGGTGGGATTTTCTCCTCAAAGCCAGCCAAATTTGGGAACTCCATCTCTGCCCTCTTCCTTCCAGAGATACCCCACAGTACTGCTAGTCTCTTGACCAGGATTTCTGGCTAGTTCTCAAAGTTTCTCATAAACTGAGTTCACAATACTGATCCCCAACAAAACCCGTGTGTATTCTCCAACATTCTCACTGTTGGAGAATTCTCTCTATGCCTATGCTAATTTCATCCCACTGGGTTTGCTAAAGTGTGGTTATAGCCTAACAGTTCAGGCCAGTATCTTGTAGCTGCTCCACACTGATAGCAAGAATTCTATTTATTTAGCTGTCTGAATCCTGGGAAGTTATTTTTATTATCAGGAATATTTGGTTTTAAAGTGATAGCTTTAACATAACTCTCACCTCCTCCAGGCTGTTCCGCAGGTACTCATGTTACCTGCATGGCTTCCATAGTCCTTTAGCGATGCACCTCACAGTTGTACATTTACACACTTAGGTTTTCTGTTCTTTCTTCTGTGTAGTTCTTGTCTTCTCTCTCACTCATTTATTCTGCCTTCCAGGCCCGCCCATTTCTCTCTCCTGCCTAGCAATTGGCCATTCAGCTCTTTATTAGACCAGTGACGTGTTTTAGACAGGCAAAGTAACACCGCTTCACAGAGTTAAACCAATGCAACATAAAAGAATGCAACACAACTTTGCATCCTTAAACAAAGATTCCACAGCATAAAACGAATGCAACACACCTTAAACTATATTCCACAATGATTGAATACAAAGAATCCATACTGCATTCGTATAAGATGTGGACTGTCTTGCAAAACAAAATATCAAAAACTCCCTTTCAAAGTAAGTTTAACTCTGCCTGCTCCTCTCAGGAGCTTTGTGGCGCTCCTCCCAAAATTCATGTCTAAACCCTGAAGAGATTGGCATTCGAGAAAGGATGTCGACTCCCGCCTCACTCAAGCTCATCCCCAAGCGGGGGGCCCGCTGGAAACCGCACCTACTGTGGTCTTGTCCCAGGGCCAGGAGCGTGAAGCTAGGGGTGTTCCCGGCCTCCGCTTTGACAGCGGCCCCGGGAGGAGTCACGTGGACCGCGAGCGCGCTCCCCACCAGCCTTGCGCAATGACGCGGCTCGGGTTGCCAGGGGGCGGGGCGGCGCGCGGAAGGGGCGGGGCGGCGGCTGCCGGCGGAGGCGGGGCGGCGCAGGGGCGGGCGGGGCGGCGCGCGGGCGGGGCGGGGCGCCCGGCGTATTATGGGATGCGGCGGTGGAATGGCGCTGGGCGCGTGATTTTGAACAAACCCGGGTCTGTGTTTCGGAGGCGCCGCCGCCGCCGCGGCTGCTGGGAGCCCCGGGAGCGCGGCGCGAGAAGGAGGCGGCGGCGCCGCCGGCTCGGGTGAGTGTCAGCTCCGGAGAGCCGGGGCTGAGCGGCGGGGACCGGCGCCGGGCCCGCGGGGAGGTGGCGCGAGCCGAGAGCGCCGGCCGGCTCCCGGGCAGCTGGGCCGGTGGGCCGCGGCGGGCGGAGGGTCGTCGGGGCGCGGCCGCGAGCCGCTGGCGCCCGAGAGCGCGGCTGTCACTCGGCCGGGTCGGCGCCGCCCGCTCCGCGCTCGGGAGGAAGGGCCGGGCGGCTGTTGACAGGCTCTCGGCGCGGCCCGGGAAGCAGCCACCGGCCCCGGGCTTCTGGGAACCGGTTTTGCTGCTGTGTCATTTCGTACCAGCGCCTCCTTTCGCTGCTGCCCGCCGCCGCGTTCTTCCTACGCCCCTTTGTATGGACTCCTCGGGGTGTGTGTCCGTTTCCCTCGCGAAGCCCACCAGCCAAATGTCATAATGTCCCCGCGGTGCACGGGGGAAGGGAGCGGGCTGGGACTCAGCCTGGCCAAGCAACGGTAAACAACCATCCGAGTGCCGAGTGCCGGTGGACCCGGCTGTTGGTGGGGGAATAAAGTTGAAAGATGGAGAAACTGGGAACCCTTTATACGCTCAGCCTCTAGCGGGCTGTATATAAAAACGCGCCGGGAGTGGGTGGGAGACAGCACTTGATTAAGCCAGAGCCTGCTGACTTTTATATGGAGTTGTCATTCAAACAAGGTAGGGAAATGAAATGGCTTCTGCTTCTACCTTATTCTTAGGTAAACTTAAGACAGTAGAATAGCCCTATTCACAACCCTGAGATTCAATTTTAGAGCTTATGTTGTAGCTGAATGATAAAGGATTACAGCTTTTGAATTGGCAATTATTTAAGACTTTCTGAAATTAAACCGCGAATTTTTGGAGAATGCTGGTCCCATTAAGAAGCCTTGCAGCTTATGTGTTCTTATTCCTTAGATGATTAAGCATTACTTGTATCCTCTTTTGGCTACTTATTAAACTAAACGAGGAGAGGAACTGGAAGGGGTGGATAGGTCATTCCGGAATCTTGTTCTAAAGCAAGTTGTTTATTTCCACTGCATTGAGCAAGTGTATCAGCAGCAGATGGTTCTTAATTTGGAAACTTAGATCCTAAAACCATTTGTCAAGGAATTCTAGCGAAGAGCTGTGTTTTCTGTATGTTAGAAGGCGATCATTCATGTTTCGTTCATGTCTCCACAGTTGGAATTAATCACTTTAATTCAATACACTTTAAATTTAGTGGCACTTGTACAACTTAAACCAACGACAAATTGACGTAATGGTGTTGTTCATGGACAGAAATGGCCAAAGTTAAGTGGAGAGGGAAATAGTTTAGAACTTTATTCTTAAAAATCAAAAACAAAACACTGTAGGATCAGCACCTGTAATTAAGGGGTGCCTGAGAATCAGACATGCATATGGAAATAGCTATACTGTCAAAGTAGTTCTGTGGGTGGAGTAGAATGCCAAAGTTGGTGAGTGACGTTAAAGGTCTCCGTCTCCGAAATGTACACAAAACACGGTCTACCATCTCAAGTGTTTTTCTGGAAATGAAAGAGTTTGGGGTCTTTTCTGTTCTTGTGTCAGATTCCACATGGCTTGCCCTCTTAACAAGTATCTCGGACTTGGAATCTCGCAGGTATCACGACTCCCGTTGGCGTTCCTGCGGGGCCCGCAGGAGCTGGGTGTCTGGTCCTGGGGTGCTAGGTCTGGCTCGGCTCGCCGGTGAGCCCTAGAACCTCCGGTGCGCGTTTGAAGGTTGGCGGGGCGGGCGGGAGGTTTCCCCGGATATGTGGGTGTGTGCTGCTCGGGAGGGCGGGCCGGGGCGGGAGCAGGAGGAAGGGGGAGGTGACTGGCGGCGGCGGCGGCGGCGGCCGGGGCTCGGCTGTCGGGGGAAGCTGCTGAGCTGTGATGGTGATGACGAGGTGAAAATGGCGGATCTTTCGAAATACAATCCCGGCCCCTGACATACCAGAGGAGGCAGCCGCGGCGACATCGCCACCCCGGCTCCCGCCTGGGTCCCCGGGTACCCTGTAGTGCTTCTTTTCGGGCAAACTGGGAAAGGAAGCAGCTGGACAGAGCTACCGTGCACTGGCAAAACAAGCACTGCCCGGGCTCGGAATTGCCCGGGACCTTCTGGAGCCCGCTCCTCAGAGCCGGAGGGTGGAGAAAGCAGCAGCCTCTGGAGGTAGAGGAGAAGGGGGGTACCCGGGGGCTCTCTGTCTGCAGAGCTCTTTATTTGGGAGCTGGGGGAGGAAATGCGTTGCGGATCAAGAATGACTTGTCCGGAGTGCAAAGAATCAGTAGCCTCCTAATGACATCAACATTATTTTTTTGAGTATCAAGGGCTGAGTTCCCTTACACCTAAGGCTGCTGCTGAGGCCTAGAGGAACCGCTAGTACTTATCATGATTTCCTGATAAGATACTTAAAATACCCACTCAGTGGGGGTTGGCTGATGGTGTTCAGCAGTTCAGGGAGTTGTGTTTCTTTGGGGGAGGCAGAGCATTGACATTTTCTTCCACGTTTAATGTTGGTGACAGAGCATGGTCTAACTTGTTGGGGTGTGGGTCCTCACCTATTTTTGAACATATGGACCCGTGTTGTAGCAATCAAAAAAAATTTATATGGCGCTGTCATCCTTGGGGTGGCATCTTTGAACCGGCCACTTGGCAAATAACAGTTGATACTGTAAATCATATTTTCTGCTCAGTTTTAAAGGGAATTTCTTCTCTGTCTCCATCTAATTTCATAAATTCAGAGAGCGAAGTTATGGAAGATTTTATAATAGGCTGTATACTACAAGTGAAATTCCATTCTGCTTGTGAGTTAACCTTTACTGTCAGGGACATGAGGCTTGATGCAAGCCTTGAGCACTTTAACCTGATAAAGATACTGAAGCCTGTTAGAGTGCAGATGCAGCTTCTTTGTTCAGGTAACTAGAGCACTGTCACCTCAATCTTAAGGCTTGACTGACCTTTATAGTGGCCCCAGCTTACTTTTGTCACTTGAGGGTCCTTACTGTCCTAAGTGTGCTGCTGGCTCCTTAGCCAGTCTCCTTGCGTACAACAGGAATGATACTGAAATTTTGTGCACATATTTGGGGTCCTCCTTATTTCTTCAGCTTAAGTGGTAGAAGGTTGGGTCAGTGACCTTGAATTATGAGAGTAAACAGGTTGATATTTAAGAACTGCCTACTAGTTTTATTTATGAGTAGCAATGGATTTTTCTTTCTCAGGTTGTCTACAAAGTAAAATGAAGTACTTCATATATTAGCATATGGTATATTGTGTATATACAGGGCAGATATCTTGTCTGAATGTGTGTGCATAGTTTGGACTTTGGCTTTCTTCACTCACTGCAAGAATGAGAAGCCAAAGAACGTTTAAAGCAACTATATGAAAGGTACTTAGAAGATTTAATGATTGTTGTTCACTAAAAATATAATTTGAGGGGCCAGCCAGACGGCTCAGCAGGTAAAGGCACTGGCCATGCTAACACTCCTGAACCTGAGTTCAGTCCCCTGGGCTGCACACGGTGATAAGAGAACAGCACTTTCCAAGTTGTTCTTTGACTTCGTCATGGCAAGTGTGCTCCCCCAACAGATAAGTCAGTGTAAAGACTATGAAAATTGTGGCTGAGGACATAGCTCATCCCTTAAGAGTGTACCTGTCCCCAGTTCCAGCACCCATGTGAGGCAGCTCAAAGCTCCAGGGAATCTGATGCCTTCTTCTAGCTTCCTTGGGAACCTGCACACATGTGGCATATACACGCATACATAAAAAATGAATCTTTTTTTAAAAAGAAGAAAACATTACACACACACACACACACACACACACAATTTGATCTTGCATTATTGAGTAGAAATCTGTTTTTTTTTAATTAAATTATGCTGCAATTTTTTGGTCCACATCAATTAGCTTACTTAGTAAGAGTAAGAATTTTTAAAACTTAAAATGCTTTGTTATTTTTAAATGGGGTCTTGCTGTGTAGCCCCAGATAGCTCTGTGTGTGTGTGTGTGTGTGTGTGTGTGTGTGTGTGTGTGTGTATGCGTGTATATGTGTATGTGTGTATGTGTGTATGTGTATGTGGAGGTGTTTTGGCTACATGTATGTCTGTGCATCGCATTCATGCAGTGTCCTCAGGCCTTGAATACTCTGGAGCTGGGAATACAGACAGTTGTGGGCTGCTGCCATATGGGTACTGGGTCCGTTGGAGGAGCAGCTACTGCCCTTAACTGCTGAGCTCATGCTCAGGCTAATTTTACCTACCAACTCTGTTGTCTTTTTTGTTGATTCTTAGTGATTATCCCCCACCCCTCTCCATATTTAGTCTCATTCTGTAGCTAGGTTGGCCTGAAATTTGCATTGGCACAAACTAGCCTCTAACTCAAAATGGTCCTGCCTCCCAAGTGCTGGGCTTACAGGTATGAACTGCCATGTCTGGTTTGTGAAACCTTTAAACTACCTTTTCTTTGAGACAGGGCTTCTCTATGTAGCTCTAGCTGTCCTGGAACTCACTATTTAGACCAGTCTGACCTTGAACTCACAGAGGTCCACCTGCTTCTGAGTGCTGGGATTAAAGGCATGTGCCACTATACCCATCTGTGATTACCTTTAAAATTTTTTTCTTTTTTTGAAATTATAATATAATTACATCATTTTCCCCTTCTCTTTCCTCCCTCCAAAACCTCCCATATACCCCTTCTTGATCTTTTTCAAGTTCATGGCCTTCTTTTTCATTAATTGTTGTTACATAGGTGTGTGTGTGTGTGTGTGTGTGTGTGTGTGTGTGTGTGTGTGTGTGTGTGTGTTTGTGTATTTCTAAATACATAAGTACAACCCACTCAGTCTATATAATAATTATGGTTATTTGTATGTATATGTTTTCAGGGCTGACCTTTTGTTTTGGCTAACTAACTGAACTGGTATACTGTTCCCTAGGGAAGACTATTCTCCCTATCTCAACATTCCTTAGGTAATTATTTTTTTTATTTTTCTTTTTTAGTTTTTTGAGACAGAATTTCTCTATGTAATAGCCCTGACTGTTCTGGAACTCTCTTTGTAGACCAAGGGGTAATTACCTTTTAAAGCTCAGTGTGTATTGGCTTTTTGTTTGTTTGTTTTGTTTTGTTGTTGTTTCTCAAGACATGGTTTCTCTGTGTAGCCTGGCTGTCCAGGAACTCCCTCTGTAGACCAGGCTGGCCTTGAACTCACAGAGATCCGTCTGCTTCTCCCTCCTAAGTGCTGGAATTAAAGGCACTCGCCACCACTGCCTGGCACTAGAGCTCAGTTTTTAGATCATTTTAGTAAGGAAAATTGCCTATTAGTAATTTAAGTGTATTTGAATGTCTGAAAGTAGAATTTGCCTCTGGAGAAAGTCAGGTATCTGTTTTGTTTAGAGAGGAACAATATAGATGTTTTGCTTGTTTGGGTTGGTTGCTTTTTTTGGAGACAGGGTTTCACTGTAGCTCAAGCCAGTCTGGAACTGGAGATTCTTCTTGCCTCAGTTTCCCCAGTGCTAGGATTATAGATGTTTGGTATCACACCCACTTTAGAGTTTCATCATTATTTGTCAAACAGGTTAAACATCCCTAATCTGATCCAAAATGTTCACTCAAAAACTTTTAGGTTTTAGAGCATTTGGATATTAATGTAGGGATAACATTAGAAGGAAAAGCCATACATATGTCCCCAATGTGAGACTTGAGAGTCTGAAACACTTCTGATACCAAGCATTTTGGATAAGGAATAGTCAGCCTTTATTATGGGTTGTCTGTGAGTCCTATACTATGCTAGGGATATAGGAAAAACTAATTTAGGGCTTTTGGTTTAAGAATTGTTGAGGTAAAGCTGAAACTATAGGCTAAAAGGGGCCTTACTGCAGTAGGCTCTGATCGCATACGACTTTTGAGTAGAGTGGACATAAAGCCAGGAATGTTTATGTAAGATGCGCTGGAGCTGAGAGGAGACAAGTCGAAACACCATAGTGTACTCCAGGCTGGGTGGAGTAACGCGTGAATAATCTGCATAGTACATACTACAATACAGACTAATATTTCTATGGAGGTGTGTCAAAGATTAAAAGATCTATTTTTTTTTTTTTTAAAGATTTATTTATTTATTATGTATATAGTGTCCTGCCTGCATGTATGCCTGCAGGCCAGAAGAGGGCACCAGATCTCATTACAGATGGTTGTGAGCCACCATATGGTTGCTGGGAATTGAACTCAGGACCTCTGGAAGAGCAGCCAGTGCTCTTAACCTCTGAGCCATCTCTCCAGCCCCTAAAAGATCTATTTTTAAAAAATTAATTTACTGTTTGTGTGCGAACTCACATGCTATGGCCCACATGTGGAGATCAGAGGACAACTGGAGAGTTGGTTCCTCCATGTGGATCCATGGATCAAACTCAGGTCATCAGGCATGGTGGTAAGCATCTTTACCAGCTGGCTGCTGAGCCATCACTCCAGCCCCAGATTAAAAGAGCTTAAGCTTTTTTTTTTTTTTTTTTTTTTTAGCATCACATTTTGGCATGCTTTATTGGGAAATATAGAAAATTAATGGCCTAGAGAAGAAAAACATGCAAATAAAGAGGAAAATGAGAAAAGATATACAATGAATGGCTGAAGAAATGAATGTAATTTAAAGGAGATGGTATTTAGCTGGATATGGTGGCTCTCACCTTTAAATGCAGCACTCAGGAGACAAAGACAAGTGGATTTCTGTGAGTTTGAAACCAGTTTGGTCTATATAATAAGCTGTAGGCCAGCCAGGGGCTACACAGTGAGACCCTGTCTAAAATAATAACTTTAAAAAGACATTTGAAGAAAAGTTATTTGGAAACTATTGACCAGTGTTCTTTTCCTTTATTTATTTAGGACATAGTGATGGCCTTACTGGGTATCAGTAGGATATGAACATGGGAATCCAAGAGGCTTGGTTAGCATCTGTTTTGGTCTGGATTCAGGTCGCTGTGATAAGATACCTGATGAAACCATGAATTCTAACTCACAACTCCAGGCTTCAGTCTGTCATTGCAGGGAAGTTAGGGTGGTGGGAACCTGAAGCAGCTAGCCATATCCTCCAGGATTTGGGGGTAGGGGTGTCACTTCTCAAATTGGTTCATGCTATCTTCTGGACATACCATGGCCATTGCACTCATGACTCAGCAGCTGTGCTTACC